ACACCTGTTTAGTCAACAACCCTCTAAATACATATGATTGGTCAACCACCCTCTCAATACATCTGTGCAGTCAACAACGCTCTAAATACATCTGTTCAGTCAACCAACCTCTTTGTACACCTTTGCAGTAAACAACCATCTTAATACACCTGTTCAGCCAGCCACCCTCTTAGAACAAAAGTGCAGTCAACAACCCTCTTAATACATCTGTTCAGTCAACCACCCTCTTTAATACACCTGGGCAGGCAACAACCCCCTTAATACATCTCGTCAGTCAACCACCTTCTTAATACATATGTGCAGTCAACCACCCTCTTAATACATCTGTTCAGTCAACCACCCTCTTAATACACATGTTCAGTCAACAACTCTCGTTATACACCTGTGCAGTCAACAACCCTCTTAATACACCTGTTCAGTCAACCACCCTCGTTATACACCTGTGCAGTCAACAACCCTCTTAATACACCTGTTCAGTCAACCACCCTCTTTATACACCTGTGCAGTCAACAACCCTCTTAATACGTCTGTTCAGTCAACCAACCTCTAAATACATCTGTGCAGTCAACAACCCCCTTAATACATCTGTTTTGTCAACCACCTTCTTGATACATGTGTGCAGTCAACCATCCTCTTAACACACCTGTGCAGTCAGCCACCTTCTTAATACACCTGTTTAGTCAACAACCCTCTTAATACATCTGTTCGGTCAACCACCCTGTCCATACATCTGTGCAGTCAACAACGCTCTAAATACATCTGTTCAGTCAACCAACCTCTTTCTACACCTTTGCAGTCAACAACCCTCTTAACACACCTGTGCAGTTAGCCACTCTCTCAGTACATTTGTGCAAACAACCACCCTCTAAATACATCTGATCAGGTCCGCCCGGAGAGCGGAAGGTCCGCGGTTCGATCCACGGCCGCGTCTTACCAAAAGACTTTAAAAGATTGTACTTGTTGTTACCCTGTCTGGCGCTCGGCATTAAGGGGCTAATACAAGGACTGGTCGGCTCGGAGTCAGTATACTGTGTGTGAGTGGGGTATTCATGTTAAACTGCGGCATGGTATCTCAGTGAGCTAGCACTATAAATCGGCATCAGTCCGGACTAGTACAAGCAGCAACACACAAACACACACACGTACATGCACGTCGCTATATAAGTGCAATAATCTTGGACGCGACGTTAAACCCAATTTCACCTCACCTCACTACATCTGTTTAGTCAACCACCTTCTTAATACACCTGTTTAGACAACCACCCTCTTAATACATCAGGAAATATTTACCCCATCACGAGTTACGAACAATGACGTGCGTGGGTTTTTGAGTGAGGGAGCGACGTGAGTGGTTGAACTAAGATACTCGGACTGTTGCTATCATCATTTGCCCTATGTATCGACAGTCAATATGATCGTGTACATCACAGAGTGAAAAACACAATCAATGATGACTACCTCGAAATTATTACACGTATATAACTATGGTTGAGGTGAGGTGAGGTGAAATGGGGCTTAACGTCGCGTCCAAGATTATTGCACTTATATAGCGACGTGCATGCACGTGAGTGTGTGTGGCTGCTTGTACTAGTCCGGACTGATGCCGATTTATAGTGTTAGCTCACTGAGATACCATTCCGCAGTTTAACATGAATACCCCACTCAGACACAGTGTACTGACTCCCAGCCGTCCAGTCCTTGTTTTAGCCCCTTAATGCCGAGCGCCAGTGAGGGTAACAACAAGTACCATCTTTTAACGTCTTTTGGTATGACGCGGCCGGGAATCGAACCCCGGACTTTCCGCTCTCCGGGCGGACGCTCTACCACTAGTCCACGGAGGCGGTCTAACTATGGTTGAATTCAGTTATATAGGAACACGCATTGCATTGTCAAGTGAAACCTCATTAACCCTGACATTTCTAATCAAAGTGAATTCGTCCCGGTTAACAAATGTGTGTGTGTGTGTGTGTGTGTGTGTGTGTGTGTGTGTGTGTGTGTGTGTGTGTGTGTGCGTGTGTGTGTGTGTGTGTGCGTGTGTGCGTGCGTGTGTGTGTGTGCGTGTGTGTTGGTGTGTGTGTGTGTGTGTGCGTGTGTGCGTGCGTGCGTGCGTGCGTGTGTGTGTGTGTGTGTGTGCGTGTGTGTGTGTGTGTGTGTGTGTGTGTGTGTGTGTGTGTGTGTGTTGGTGTGTGTGTGTGGTGGGGGGGGGGGGGGGGGGGATACGTTTCCACATTTGTCAGCACCATACCCGTGCTCGTGGTTTTCACCAAAGAGGTAAACGACTTCGCCATGCATCATTTCCCACATTTCACGCTGTGATATGACAGCAATACTGTCATAAGCGGCGTAAAAACCCTACTCACTATGACTTAAAACATTCATAAACATATATCGCGGCATTAATTTGAAGGGGCATAAAAAAACGACTAAACTAGAATAACAGCCATTACAAGTTATATTGTCATATACACCTACAGATCGCAATGACGAGACAATAACTTCCGATCATACTAAAACAGCCATGCAAAATCCTGCAAGGATATAAGTTTCAGTGACTGCTATGCGGAGTGCTCCTAAGTGTATTCAGTCATCGACAGAATGACAACTGCCGAAGTAACATGACGCATTGTCCTATCAGTAAACATACATAAATATTCACAGTTTGTTTTACAGAAGTGTAAATGATTGCCCAAGGGTAACTGTAAATGTTTGCCCGACTGTAACTGTAAATGTAAGTGTAACTGTACCTACGAGTATATCCATGTCTGGATGATGCAGATGCAGGCATCGATCAGCATCGGTTGTTTGGAACCTATTTTAACCCGGAAACCTCACGGCATATCAAAACAACATCAGCATCTAGATGATTTGCCACAAATGTGTTATTTAGGGGCTCCACAATCGCTGCTGCACAAACAAGGAGTCATCCATTGACCCGAGTGAGTTTGAAACGTATATCAGCAGGGACGAGTTTTATTACTTGCCCGTGAAGAGATCACCCGTTTAATAAACATACAGCTGTATTACACATTGTGTAATACCAAAACGCGTGCTTATGTACTCTCGGAACACGTTTCACGAACAAATATTGAAAGCTCTCAACATACCTTGGCTTATTCAACGACATTGTGTGTGGAGATAATAGATCACTGAGAGGAGCTTATGCACACTCGATGACACCAGCAACCTTGTTGCTAGGCTGACGTCACATGGCATTGTTTCGCCGAAGGATCTTGCAACAAAATTCCACAAATTACGTCATCGGGTATTGTGACGTGATTGTACACTTTGAGGTGCAAGGCCCCGTTCCACAAGGCGATCGTACTGTAGCGCAACGACAGTCGTTGGTCTAAGTTAAAGTATGTGAGTTGCGATAACCTTAACGCTACGATAATTTTGTGGAACGGACGCCTGAATTCTAAAGGTGGACCGTTGTATGGTATTAAATTCATACGTTTAAACTTTTGACGTGTTTGAAGTATTACTCAACTCAATCCAACTCAATTGGATTATGCCGTGGATCGTGTAGGTGTCGGCCTATTCACACTCGAGACGATAATACTGAAAACGTTATAAATGGCAAGTAATAAATAAAATACTAAACTCGAACCCGTGTAAAACCAGTTTTATGAAACTCGTGAATAGTTGTGGTATCTGACGAGCGAAAGCGAGTCAGATACCACAACTATTCACGAGTTTCATAAAATTGGTATTACACGGAAGTTCGTTTAGTATTCGATATATCTACTGTGAGAGAAGACCTACAAATCACACTACTGTCAACAGGATGATGCATTTCGTGCAGTTCACTCAGCTTGTAAAGTTTCCAGAAGAGGTGGTTGTCAGTGTTTGAATAATTTCCTTGTCATGACATAGATAGTTTATTTCACTTTCATACATAATCGGTACTTTTACTGTGTGTTGTTCCTATATATATGTATGTAGTGAATGCTTTTGAATAAAGATACATTTTCCTCATTTTAATACACACTGTTTATATTATAACTAACACCATTCATTGGTCATATGATTTGCAATGTGATAACGGATTATGTTTCCTTCTTTAGTTTCCAATTTTTGTGGAAAAAGGAGCATATGCCAAACTGTTACTCATCTTCAAAGTTCCTCTGAGATAAAGGGACGCTAGTTTTATGTTCATTTAATGATATATAAAATTGGCGTCCCGTTATCTCAGAGGAACTTTATCAATATCGATATGGTATTATGATTGCGTATACAAAACATTATAGAAGGAAATAATTTACCGATTTTGTGTCGTTGGCATAAGGTTTGACATAGCTGTTTAAAATCCACGATAACATGCCTCAAAATAAAATAGTAAATACAGCAGGTCATGAAATGCGATTTCTTTGAAGACCATAGGACCATTGCGTAAGCCTAGTGTTGAGTTTTTCTTCCCTTTGGTAATACACATGCTATTGAAAACGATCATGTCACTCATGCACAAAGGAGACACAATGACAAAATTGTGGATACCGCTTCGACGCATTATTACTGACTAACTTGTCATAATCTGGGACAGAGGAATGTATATACAGTACAGTACGGTTATAACGAACCCAAAGGGACTACTAATTTTAGTTCGTTATAACCGTAGTTAGATATAAGCATATATACAGTATAACTACAGCAAATAGTCGGGACCAAAAAAAGTAAATTCGTTATATCCGTCAATTCGTTATAAGCGTGTTCGTTATAACCGTAGTTTACTGAAGTTGTATACATGTAAACGAAATATCATCCTTTTGTTATGCTCCAAATCGAGGTGCATGTAACTAGATATACACGACACTGCTGGATCTCCCTGTGATAAATCATCCGGTACACACGTACACGTAAGTTCGCATGAATCTGTCCTTCACACGCCTGTCAGCGCTTTACCCCGTCTGTGTTGTGGTATGTCTTATGAGTAGCACCCCATTACATGCATAGTCTCAAATCAAGTGTCGAGGTTTTCAATTCTAAGTGTAAACACTGCTTACCTTAACAGCCTCGATCCCCTCTCGATTTTGGCCTGTCAAACGTTGTTGATATAAATAGACACACAGTGTTCACAGCGCATGCGTACCAGGCCATCCTACAACTTTGTTCACTCATGATTTTATATATTCACTGCGCCTAGCTGTTTGTTTAGGTATTTAATAGACTAATTGATATCCCATTTTACAGACCCAGAGGTATATTTAATTATTGTTTGGTTACAGAGACACGTTGTGACGTCGCAGTTTCAGACGAGGAAGTAGATTGCTTGTTGATTGTGACTGTGTCGCTATGACATTACAGTATAACCATACAATATTACTTACGACCTTTTCTACACAAGGGGTTTCTACCCTTCTTATACACTACGCCAGAGTAAGCATAGAGCTTTATAACAGGTTGTTTATCACAAGCATAAATCAGTGACCTACATACAATGTAAAGCCGTTTCATGCCGACGTGTCCTGCCTGTCATAATATTTCGACATTGAAAATACAGTAAACTACGGTTATAACGAACACGCTTATAACGAACTAACGGATATAACGAACTAACTTTTTAGACCCGACTATATGCTGTAGTAATGCTGTATATATGCTTATAACGAATTACGGTTATAACGAACTAAAATTAGTAGTCCCTTTGAGTTCGTTATAACCGTAGTTTACTGTAGCTTTATCTACTGTTAATGTCCAAAATACTAAAACGTGGTTAAATCTGCAACTCGCGGTAGGTAGAACCGTACATTCTTTCCTGTATCAGGCCGGGTCAACCTACGCTGACACTGACTGTAAGTGTACGCTAGGTTAATATCCTACCTAGATATTATCCCGGGGGAAGTTTTACTCTAGAGTATAGTAGCCTACCTTAGTGTGGGACATCTGGGACAGGTTATGTTAAAAAATTAAGGGTAAATCATCCCAGTGAAAGACACCTAAGTGGAAATAGGAAATTGTATGCTGGGACAATTTACACTAACTTGAATCAGTGTATATTATCCCATGAGTGTATCCGATCCTAGGATAAATAAAACTGGCAATAGGTTAAAATATTCTAGTGTTATTTATGTTGATACAGTAAATTACGGTTATAACGAACTCAAAGGGACTACCAATTTTAGTTCGTTATAACCGTAATTCGTTATAAGCATATATACAGCATAACTACAGCATATAGTCGGGACTAAAAAGTGAGTTCGATATATCCGTTAGTTCGTTATAAGCGTGTTCGTTATAACCGTAGTTTACTGTACTTGCATTTTCATCATGTTTGGTTGGAATGTATATAGCTTGGTGTGAAATGAGAGGTGTGTAAGTGTGTGTGTGTGTGTGGGGGGGGGGGGGGGGAGATGTGGTGGTAAATATATGTTGATAGGGTTAAACACACTGGTATGGGTTCAAATTCACTAGGGAGTATCATCCTGACACTAGAGAATTTCATTCCCGGGATAAAAAAAAAGGGTAGGATAATATTCACTCTTACTTAAGCTGGCTGTAATACTCCAGATAGTTTTTTTTTAGAATCCCACGTGACTTTTACCATGTGACGCTAGTGTGAGGGGAGATGCCTCATACATAAAGCATTAATATGCAGAAAGCAAAAGTTTAACATACGTTTATGTCAAGAGGGGCAGCATTACCCTCAACCTGAATGAAAATATGACATTGAAATTTCAGTTTCTACTAATATAAGGTTTTACGCCGCTTTTACCAATATGTCAGCAATATCACGGCGGGTGACACTAGAACTGGGCTTCACACGTTGTACCCATGTCGGGAATCGAACCCGGGTATTCGGCGTGACGAGCGAACGCTTTAACCACTAGGCTACCCAATCGCCTTCTACTAATATAAACTCACCGACATTTCATATTATCACACTGTTGCTTGATAGTAGTTGTTTCACAACCAGTCTACATAATCACCTACTTATGACACTTCACAAATTAGTGTGATCACCATAGAAATGTACCATCCACATCAGCCACAACACATCACAAAATCCAAATGTCTTCCTCTTGCTGACAGGGTATCTTGACTGTACTCTCTGATTCCTGACAGTTTCAGATAGTCGACGTCATGTGATCGGTCTGACAAGTTCTCCTTCCAGTCAAGGATCGCAATGTGGACTCTCAATCTATAATTATGTTCGGGAAATACCACCCTTTTATCCACACACTAGAGCAAGGCATTATTAAAGGACTCACCATAATATGCGTCCGTACATAATGCATATACTTCAGCTTTCTTGTACAATGGGAGAGTGTGGAGATATGATAAGAGAGCCCGTGACGCATCTTTATTTGCGAATGGTTCATACTTCGGATCACGTTTGCATCTTGATGTGGCATGGCAGCTTTTGGTAATGTTCCACAATGTTGTCGATATTGTTCGTTAGCTTTTCTGGACCATTTTCACAAGTTTTAATTTCCAAAAATATGTGTACGAAAAGAACTAGCTTTGTCTTCCTGAGCTTTGTACCATACCTTCCCTTCATTCGTCTTGGGGGCGGTCGGGTAGCCTAGTGGTTAAAGCGTTCGCTCGTCACGCCGAAGACCCGGGTTCGATTCCCGACATGGGTACAATGTGTGAATCCCATTTCTGGTGTCCCCCGCCGTGATATTGCTGGAATATTGCTAAAAGCGGCGTAAAACCATACTCACTCACTCACTCACTCACTCACTCATTCGTCTTGGACCCCTCAGTAAATTTCCGTATGCTATGCTCCTAGCTATACCGTTTGTCATGTGTCAGGTGTCATTAGCATTTTGAGTGTCACCCCGTTCTCTTACAAATCGTGTCACTGATGCGTTGTTATTATGTTTTCTTTGTTTGTTTGTTGTTTTACGCCGCACTCAGCAATAGTCCAGCTATATGGCGGCGGTCTGTAAATAACCGAGTCTGGACCAGACAATCCAGTGATTGACATTATGATCATCGATCAATTGCCATGCATCAACCAAGTCAGCGAGCCTGACCACACGATCCCGTTAGTCGCCTTTTACGACAAGCATTGTCGCCTTGTTATTAAATGATCGTACAAGGACTGGCACTTGTAGCTTGTCAAAATGGTCATAAATCGTTTTAAACTCCAAGTAGTCCATGTCGTTGAGTAATGGGATCATCTCATTTTGAAATGGTCCCTAATCTAAGTACCCTGTGGGTATATCAGAAAAGCGTGCATTTCTTCGCCAACAATATCGCGCATCCGTCATTATCCCATTACCTTCTCTCATGTCGGGGCGGTCGAGTAGCCTAGTGGTTAAAGCGTTGGCTCGTCACGCCGAAGACCCGGGTTCGATTCCCATGGAATCAATGGGTACAATGTGTGAAGCCCATTTCTGGTGTCCCCCGCCGTGATATTGCTGGAATATTGCTAAAAGCGGCGTAAAACCATACTCACTCACTCACTCAGGTCAGATGCAACGTACCACCATGTAGAGATTTTTCCTGCCATGTATTCGATAAATCTGTTTCATTTTCATCATTAAACATTTGCACCTCCTGCACATATCGTTCCCCAATATTTCCTGATTCTGCGCCCTCAGAAAATTTGTTGAAATGTGATGGGAGCATACAAATTCCACCGTAGTTCGAGACAAGCGATCTGTCGTTTGTTTAATGAGCATATTGTTTGGCTTTTTATTCATCCTAAAAAAATCGCAGTGTTTTCGGTACGCCCACTGATTTATTGGTTTGTTTGTTTGTTGTTTCACTCAGCTTTATTCTAGGTGTATGACGCCGGTCTGTGAGTAATCTGCACCAGACAATCCAGTGCTCAACATCATGGATCAACCAACTCAGCAAGCCTATTAAAACAAGCATGGATTTATGAAGAGGTGAGGTGAAATTGGGTTTAACGTTGCATCAAAGAATATTGCACTTATATAGAGACGTGCATTCACGTACGTATATGTGTGTGTGTGTGTGTGTGTGTGCGTGCGTGCGTGCGTGCGTGCGTGCGTGCGTGTGTGTGTGTGTGTGTCTGCTTCTACTACTCAAGACTGATGCCGATTTATAGTGCTAGGCCACCGAGATACCATGCCGCGGTTTACCATGAATATCCCACTCAGACACAGTGTACCGACTCCGAGCCGACCAGTCCTTGTTTTTGAGTAAAAAATCAGGTAACTTATGGCGCACATCGTGCCATTCATAATCAGAGTTATTGTGCATTGATAAACGGTCTGAGGTGCCGCAATACGCTGTGCCGAGTTGCGTTGCTAGGGCACACCAGAAACCCATAATTGTGGGTTCGACTATCCCGGTTCGCCCCGATAATGTTAGCAGTCAAAAAAGGGATAAACGCCTGACACTTGCAACACGTCGAACATTCTACCCACATGAGCGGACACGCCGTTTGAGAACTTGCATACTGTTCGTCGTTAAACCCAACTCACTCACTCACTTATCTACACATTCAAATGAAGAGAGCGGCTTGAGAGTCACATCAGTGTGACTAGAATACTTTGAGCTCTTATGTTTACCACTGCCGTAACAAGAGTAGGCCAGCGCTTTGCATAGTGAAGTGAGGTCGTTGAACCTGGAAGAAGGAAGGTAACAGGTGGTTACACATTTCACAAAACAGTCACCTCCTCATCCATAGAGGTAAGTACTGTGATTATGATTGCTTTTCTCTACATATACATCTAACAAATCTTAACTTTTAAAACAAAACATTGCGATGCCATCTGCTGACATTTAAACAACACGCTCACATTTGAACACAAGCGTCAGATTTCATTTCTCACATTATTAGCGCAGACAAATACTGTACAATTTGTTTATTGAGTTTGGGTTGTTTACAGACAATAACATGTTAAATCTATGTAAACTGGGAAATGTATAATACTTGTTTGGGGACATACAATTAATTCAGGTGCTCCCTAATGTCTACACATCAATAAAAAATGACAGTTACTTTCAACATACCCATAAGGACACATTTCATATTTCACATGTACCCATTTTCTTAGCTTTCTTGACAAACCCACGCACGGCAAGGTTGTCTAGGGTTTTGAATCCTGTCTGATTTGGTGTTTTATAGTTATAT